TTTTTTATTGAGATGAATAATTGGGAACCGAATCCTAGTTTTTAATCAGTGCCTAGTTCAAACCTTACAACTAGACTCGGAACTTTCCACCGTCTAGAACACTTATCATCACAATTCAAGCGCCCCAAATTTAATCTAGAATTAGACTCGATCAAAAAGTTGAATTCAAATTTGAATAATTGGATCACTCAACAGATGATGAAACTCTAAAGTTAAATGCCTAAGCGTAATTTAATACACATAATACATTTATAAGTTAAAGCAATAAATCGATGATCATAGTCATGTGCTCAAAAGTAAAGAGTCCAACACGAGATAAGATGATACGTCACCAAACAATTTATAGTAATATTTTCGGTGCATCACAAGTTAGCTATACAGCAAGAGTAACACTAAGAAAATATGTTTGAAATTTTACAAAACATTTCAGTTTTTATGGATTTTTCAAATTTTCAATTCAAAAGCAAAACATTGCCTAAACCTTACGAGTACAACTTAAGCATTTTTAAACTCCCCCCCCAAACACACACACATATATGATGTCCGCAGGCGAAGCGCTTGTATATTAATCTACTCCTACGTAGCAAATGATCCACCCCATCCCACCAAAAGAAAAAGAATAATTACGTAAAATTTTAAAATCAATAGTTCCAAATAGATTAGTTAAGCCACGTGTCAAGCCCTCATTAGACTATAGAAGATAACGTGAATGCGCCCTTTCATAACCAGCTAGCAGAATGTCTGAGGTGACAAAGAATTTGTCCAAACTGTTCTCATCCACCAGAAGACAATGGTGTAGATGTCATCCTCCGGCGGCGACAACCACCGGGCCGAGCCAAAACTAGACGAGCCAACAACACCTAGAGTTCTTACCATCTTGTCTTGTGTACTAAAGAAGCTAGTGGCACGTAATGACCAGCTAGTTCTCAGTTTGGCTCAGCTTGGGAAGAGCTTCAACGCCTTCCATGGCGTGAGAGCCCCAAACATTACAATTCCGAATTATATAGAGAGAATATACAAATACACGAATTGTAGCCCCTCGTGTTTCGTGGTAGGCTATGTGTATATAGACAGGTTGGTGCATAGGTATCCCGACTCGCTCGTGGTGTCACTCAATGTTCATAGATTGCTGGTTACATGTGTTATGGTGGCTTCCAAGATTCTCGATGATGTGTGAGTTCTCTCTCTCTCTCTCATCATATATGAAAATTTCGTACACGAGATGTATGTTCAAAAAGTAAATCTAGTATGCACATCTTAAGTCGCGTTGAAGATAAATAATTGTGCTGATTGATGACACACATACTCGGACAGAATTTTTGGTTGAAGATAAAAAAACAAAAAAATATCGATGTCACTTATGAAAAATTTGGGTCTTAGAGATTTAACAAAGAAATGAACTTGGTACACAAAATGATATCAGTCGTGTTGAATCCATCTTATGTCTATGCTTTAGCCTTTTTCGATTATTGGATTCATCCTATCTTAGAAGCACTTCTACTTAAATTTGAAGAATTATTTTATTAGGATTTAGATAGGGAATTATCCCCAACAATTTAATTTTATATCTGAAACCTAGTAATATAATATAATGAAGGAAAAGGTTTGTTGTTCTTGATAAAAGTATTCACTTTAGTTTCTAAACTTGTCCAGTATGTCCATAGTGATGGGGATATAACGATGTGTTGGAGTGAGCAATTCAGAATTCAGCGTATTAAACATGTTGTGTATGTCTTATCAGGCACTATAACAACGCATTTTATGCCCGTGTTGGTGGAGTGACCAATACAGAACTAAACAAGCTCGAAATCGAGCTGCTTTTCCTTTTAGATTTCAGAGTAACCGTAAGCTCTCGAGTATTTGAAAGCTATTGCCAGCACTTGGAGAAAGAAATGATGTGTAATGACGCGACGCGGAAGATTGAGAGGCTACCGATTTCCAATTCAGTTGATGATGTTATTGAAATATCTGTCGAAGATACACAAACTTCTTCACCTCCGCAGATTGTAGATTGATCTCTTGATTATGTATTCAATTTTATCTTATAATCTACTACTGTTCTTGAATCTTGAAAGCAATAATTGAATCGATACTTTAAGCAATATAGCACTCGAAGACTTCAATGCCAATTGTGTAAGAAAGGGACAACAAGAGATTGAGCCGGTTACAACGAAATTGGCTCAGGGGGAAGAGCAAACTACACATATCCATCTCGTCTAATTTCATGAGAGTGCATATATATTATTTCATTTAAAATATATATATTATTTAATCAATGCTGATCTTTAAAACCGTCCAGCCATTGAGGGAAGTAGAGAGCGAGTCCCAAGGTCAAGCAATGCTGATCTTTAAAACCGTAGTAACATTTTCCACATCAGCAAGAATCTCAACTTTTTGTAGCCCACAATGTGCCACGTGGTGCTCACCCAAGCCCTCAAAATCACATCAAATAAATATATGAAGTAATCTCTTATTATTTCTTCCTCTACTGTGAATTATATGAATTAATCAAATTCTGTGATTTTCTTCCATTAAAGGTATATCAGTTGTTAGAGTTGTTGCTTTACTTCTTTCTTTGAAATAAAAGGTGGCGGGATTAATCGACTATTTTCATTTTTCTTGGATATTATTATTAATGACAATGATCAGTTTGCTGTTTATTGGATCCATCACTTTTGTTTAATCCAATAAAAGTCAAAATCCCGCCACAGAATTTACAGATTCTTGATAGAAAACGTCCAAAAAAACACGAAATACTAAAGAAAAAGGGTGTTTTAGTTTAGAGAGAGTAATTAGCATAAGGAGGCAAGAAATGGAGCCTCTTTGTGAGTTTTGTGGGGAGGTGAGTGCAGTGGTTTATTGTAAATCGGATTCAGCTAAGCTTTGTTTGCAATGCGACAGCCGTGTGCACTCTGCGAATTCGCTGTCCTGTCGCCATCCTCGTTCGCTAATTTGTGACAAGTGTAGTTCACAGGCGGCCACGGTGAGATGTATTGAGGATAAGTTATCGCTTTGCGAGGATTGTGATTGGAATGGAAATAGTTGTTCAGGTGTTGGTCATCATCGTTTAAAGTTGAATTTCTACACTGGATGTCCTTCTCTGGCTGAATTCTCCAAAATCTGGTCTTCAATTCTTGAATCACCGCAGCAAACGACAGGTAGTTTTGGGAGTGCAATGGCTACAAATGAGAATTCTAATATGACTGTGCCCTGCCTAAATGACTTAGCATCGTGTGTTAAGTTTGGATCATGGGCTGTTCCACCACCTCCTCCTCTTCCATCTACTAATAATTCCAACTATTTAACAGTATGCAATAGAGATCAGAAATTCTTATATGACAGAGATCAAACTTCCCTTTTCTCTGAAGGATCAGGCCTGCAAAAGGTGATTTAAATTTTCTGATCGTGTAATTATTAGTTTTTACAATTGTTTCTAATAAAAATTGTGTGTTGTTTTACCAGGACTGTGCTAATATAACGGATCTCAGGCTTCCTGAAACTGATGACCTCTGTGATAGTCTTGACATGGATGATATTGGTTTGAGCTTTGAGAGTAGTTATGAAATGTTTGGCAATTCACAAGGTCAGCCAAGATACAACTACGAAGATGGAGGAACTGCTAGCCTATTAATGGAGAAAAACCTGTCGGTCACTCACTCAAGTAGCACTCATATTGAAAGTGCTTTCGAGGTTCAATTCCACAACTCGAGTTTCTATAGATTTTCATGTCCCGTTGTTATTATTATTTTCTTATATAGCACCCTAACCATGCATTCAATACACTGTATAAAATGTAATCGTGTTTGCTTTGAAAATTAATATTTCTTCAATATGTTTTTAGGCATCCTCATCAGGGCATATACCTGCTTGTTCAAGAAATTTAATGCAGGCAGTGAGTAATGCGAATTGCATGCTTATGAACTCAGCAGCTGCATGCAACTTATCGAGTATGGGATTAGGGTTTCCAAATGGCCAACTTCCTTCAACCATATCCCTATCACTCTCCAATATCACTGGAGAGAGCAGTGCTGCTGATTATCAGGATTGTGGACTGTCGCCGGTGTTCCTCATGGGAGATAATTCCCCGTGGGAATCGAATTTAGAAGCGAGTTGTCCAAGGGCGAGGGATAAAGCTAAGATGAGATACAAGGAAAAGAAGAAGACACGAATGTATGTATTTCTTCTGGTCTTTCCTTTGATGAATTCATGCGTTAATTTCACATTTTTCCTTTTGCCAAATAAAAAAATAAGGTTTTCTTGTACGTCTATATCGTTAACTACTATAAATTTTTTGGCTCTCATACCATGTTAAGATCTCGTTTAAAAAATATGGTTAATGAAGTCTGATTTCTGAACATAAAAATAGAATATAGACGTGACACCTCACCCATTTTTATATGTTCGAATGTGCGAATATGACATGAGTCTCGTGCTTTTATCGGATTTGAATGCTAACTCCACTTCTGATTATGATCGAACTTTTTTTTATGCAACTATGTAGGTTTGGTAAACAAATAAGATATGAATCTCGTAAAGCCAGAGCTGATACAAGAAAGCGAGTGAAAGGTAGATTTGTGAAGACTGGAGAAGCTTATGACTATGATCCACTTACAACAAAGGACTTCTAATTTAATTAAGCAATGGATTTCGCCTCTGCCATTACAATATATTCCCCGGTGAAAAGGTACATCCATTTGCTCTGATCACATCCTCATTTTGTGCTTCTATTTTAGTTTGACTGATGATGGATAGGAAGCACAATTTGCAAATAACTAGATTGCTATGTCACCACACTAATGTACATTAAAATGAATATAACTTCACGTAAAAATTAGTGTCTTTTGTTGTTTTTATTATCGAACGTTATATATGTATATTGTGCAAAACATGGAGTTGCTTCTATGACAGGTCATGTGAAGTGGGTGAGCTTTGAAATTAGAATCGACCTGGCCCAGGTGAGAGTTCCTATTATGTCATTTCGTTTGTATGTATATGTGAGTTATTTCATTTTTCTATCATTAGTTTCTAATTCATTATCTTGTTACTAATTTTTGTAGGAGATCAAAGCGTTTTTCTTTGAAGACGTGACTTTGAACCTGTTCTTTCCATGACCCCTCTTAATTGAGATGAGACAACCGAAAATTTGGTCATTGGAACTTTTATCAGCTTTCAAATTCTGTGTGTCATAGATACACTAGCAGAAGTATGTCATCTACAATATTTTGTTAATAGCATGGCTCGAATTTACATTCTCTTCGCCATTTGTTACAAATGCTGCAAGGAGAAATTTCACGGAATTTTGATTGAAGGTATCATTATAAAATATCTATTTTATGTAATAAGCTTCCAAAATGCTGGTTTTATAAGTAATATGTGTCCTTTGTTTTTCATATTTAACTCTTTATTTATTATTATTATTATTTTTTTTTTTTTGGTATGAATGTTCAAGGTTTATCAAATTAGATGCCCAGATATAATTCAAGTATGCGCAAAAGGTCTTGTTTTAATCTTGGATAGTTATATTCACACCACGATTTTTATTAACTGCACCATGTTATAATTTCAAAGTCTCCAATTTTAGCTCACTCTAGCACTTGTTCCCAATTTCTTCCAACAAAAGTATATTTAACCTTCAATTAATTAGCACATCTCGACTTTAATGACGCTTTCTATCCAAATATTCTGTTAGCGTGGGAAACATCTTTTGTCGAACTTTTATGTTTAATGTTTATTTAAAAATAGGGACATGATACATGTACATAATTTTTGGTACATAGGAGTGTACATACCCTCACAAGGGGTGGGACCCACTCAAAATCTCATTCCATGTGAGGGCGTAGACACCCCTATGTACCAAATATTATATACACCAAGAATTATTCTTAAAAATATGAGGGACAAATAAGTTTTTTTTGCTCAATCCTAATAGATTTTTTAATGTCATTGGGACAATATATGCTAATTAATATAATATTGAAGATAAAAATATGATGAAAATTGTTGAGGACATAATTGGGAAATGAACAAAAGTTAAGGACCCTCATTGTAATTAATGTAGTATAATTACCAAGAACTGTGAATATAATTATCCTTCGTATACGCCATTACTAAGTGTGTACTTTAGTTACAATATTAAACCATTAATTCATGTATGCACAAAATTCCCATACATGTGCCGCTATAAAGCCTTCGTTTGGCAAAATTTATGATCATTTATAAATGATCAAAATATACTTACAAGTATTATTTATTTATCCATCACTTATTTTTATAAATTAAATCGTTTATAAATTCTTCCACCAAATAGTGGCTAAGTTTGAACTTTAGATACTACTTTAAATGTTAATAAATGTCCGATTTCATTCAAAAAAATAAGAAAAGAATTACCGAAGTCTCAAGGCTCTTGTGAACTTTATATGGTCAGCATTTTAAATTGCTACAGATGGAGTGAGGACAGATGTGTAAAAGTGAGTTGGGTTAAATAAGCTCGTCCCAAACAGAACTTGTGTTTAGCACGACTTAAGATAGGTCATATTGTGAACCAGCGTGTTTGAAAAGGAGGGTTGCATTGACCCTTAAGTTCTGTACGACACCGTCAAATCGAATCTCCATGTGTACGAAGACGTTGCACTTTCAACAGTGGAAAAATCTATCGCTTGACCTAAAATGGCATGCCAAACACACCAATAAAGTGGTTTAATTGCAAGGCATCAATTTTACGTCACTTTCCATTCTTGATCACGGCATTGTTTTGAATTGTTTTCATGGATTACTGAGTAACACAAAACTGTTATCGTACAAAACAAAACTGTTACACCAACAATACCTTAACAAGAACTCAAAAAGTATAGAAAATAAAAGCAAAACTTCACCAACGAAATTATTAAAAATAAATAATAGCAACGGCAAGCGTGCAGTCTCGACTCAAATCAATTCTGGTCATCGTCTCCTTCCTACATACCCTTCACGGGAAGCCCTGTTACAAGTCTCTCCAACCCTTTTGGCTACTGAACAACCCTCCCTCACATTCAAACATGCATTTCCCTCTACTTCATTTTACTTCCCCCTTTTCCTTTTCCTTTTCCTTTTCCTTCCCCTTTCCTGGTCCCTTAGCTGATCATTTACCTTTCTGCTTTCCTTTTGTTTCTTTCCCCCGCTTGTTCATTCCCTGCTTCCTGGCGTCCTTTTTCATTCGTCTATCAACAAGAACTTTCCCCTTTCGAGCCTTGACTTGGACGCCCTTCTTTGCTACCACATATTCCTTCTTAGGTTTTTTAGGTGTTGCCTTCTTATAAAGCTGTTCGATCATTTTACTCTTCGAACGGTCTGATATTTCTGTCTGATCCGATATAGAGTTCGCCTTCTTCCGTACCTTTTCTAGCTGCCTATGGGCAGCTCATTTCTTTCTAGCTTTCGCTTGTGCCACCTTCTTTGCTGGCCGAGCATCAATTTCTTTGAACTGTGCTCTCATTGCAGCAATCTCCTCTTTTGTTACAGGCTTGATTGGCTGGTAATGCCTCTTTTCCTCATCAACAAACTACTTCGGTAATCCCTCATCATGGAACATATATTTGTTGTACGCATCATCAAGAATCTGTTCCCTCTGCTTTTTCGTCAGCATCTTTTTTGCACAAGCCAATATCTCTGCTTTTGAACCAATGTCGTCTTCATCTGAGTCGTCTGATGAATCACTAGAGTCTGTATGTGGAGCAGGAACTATCTCAAAATCATCATCCGCCTTGGAAACTTTTACTGTCGGTAATTTACTCGTCTTTCTTGAACCCTTGAGTTTTTCTGGTGAATCTTCAATTGTCTTCTCCTGAATTGTGGGATGTTCGACTGGCATATCCATATGCATTTCATCTTCACTATCATCATTCTCCAAATCCTCTCTTTCATCGGCATCCAGGAAGACATCTTGACTGAACCATTTTGTTGCAATCTCCTCCTGACTCGGTGCATTCTCTAAGAGTGGAACCACAAGCGGATTCACCTCACGATCTCCATCATTATCGGAGTCTCGATCAGAATGAACCATGTTATTGTCATCGTCACCCTGTCCAAACCATAAAGAAAAATACCTATTTAGCAAAGAAGTGCATTTTCTGAAAATAAAATTGAGCTCATCCATTCTTTTTAGTGCATATTTGATGGGAGAGGAGAAAAATGTAGCTTACCTCCAAGAGTTGATCGCCCTCCGAATAGGCTTGTTTTGTACGCTTTCTCTGCTTTGTACTTCCTTCCTGTTTAGCTACAAATCTTTCGTAGGCTTCATCAAGTAACTCCTGTAGTTGCTCACCATACCTGAAAGCAGAATACTGTTAACTTATAAAAGAATCGAGAATAGACCACACTTTACAAGCTTACGTCCAAGTTAAGAGGAAACAACTACCGCTGGTGTTCTTCATCAGTGTCTGCATCACTAGATGTGCCCCCTTGGGCTTCCTCACAGCCTCATTCGCTGTCACTACTTCCAATTTCATCATTTTCACCATCATATTCATCATTATCAACAGCCACAAGTTCTTTCTTCCCCTGAATGAAAGCATTCCAAAGAGAGAATAATATTCCAAGTGTAGACCAAGCAAATACTAGATTTCATGTAAAACTGACATAAAGTACACAATTGGATGCCTACACAATATAGGAAATGACATTCCTATATTTAAAAGAGAACCAAATCCAATATGGATTAGAAGAATTTCCATCACTCTATATGGTGAAAAGGCAAAGTTACTGAAAAGGGGAAAACTCTCAACACCACCAATTCAGCAAAATTTAGTAAAACTTGATAAACATAAATAAGAAAATAAAATCATTGTTGGGTTTTCATTTGATTTCTTCCATGAAAGATAACAGTTATAAAATGTTCCAAGAGTAAGAAGAAAACCACAGGACTTCATACCTGAGCAGAAACACAGGCCAATTAATATAGGCTAAAAATGACTGATCTTTTGAACTGGTAATGTAATAATAAATGAAGGAGAAATATACCTTGATAGAAGTTAGAGAGAACAATTCATGATCGGTGTAGCCATCCTCTGTCGCGTCAATTTGCTTGCCTAATGCTTTCCGAGCTTTGTCCTGCAGAAAAGACGAAAGGATTTATTAGACAAAGCAGGATATACTGAACTTAAACAAGTAAAAATGAGGATTAGTAATTTATTTAAAGAGTACAGAAATATCGACAGCAAAAACAGAGATTACATGCAAGTGCAATAACAAACCCAGAGAAAAAGATGGGGTGATGGGATGATATACAGGACAACCTAGGAGGAAATATTGCCATCTGATATCATCCAACAACCAATTCAGACTTAAGAGTCTTAATATAATGCATCAAGAATGTAAAGTTCTACAATTAACCTAATCTAGGAATAGACCCCAAGTCTCAAACATCCCGGTGATACTTATCCATCATGGTGGTTAAAATCCCAGCCTTGATACACATTTCTAAGTCTTACATTATTAGTTGCAAAATTGTTACTAGATCAGCTAATCAGGTTACATCTAAAATTTAGAAGCTTTGTTCCACACAGCACTGACAATATATTTCAGTAGCACCCAGCTTTCACTATGCTATGCCCTCATAACCGGCAAATAATCTAGCATGGTAGAAAGCCTACAGTGATAGAATAAGCATGATGTCTATTCCCCATCGCTTGATACAAAATCAGATAAAAAAAGTATTCTAGTATCATCAACTGATTCACCTGCCTTCTTAATTAAATGTTAACTGACAATAGCTTCAAAGAACCAAGACAATAGCTCAAACTAATCCACATTTGCTTAATCTTATCTGTTGACTATGTAACTTAAGAAAAGAACCTAATAAAGCAGAAAAGGATTCATGAACATGGGCAATAACCTTGGCTTGTCTCTTTGCTAGAAGTTTCTTTGCCCTTTTCTTCTTCTGCTCCATAGCATTCGTCAGCTCCTCCATTTCATTAAGTATCTTATCATCTTCATCTTCCTTGCCCTCCCGTTCCACAGTCGTCGTAGCAGAAGTAGCCTTCTCTGTGGGAGTTAGTGCCTTTCTTATTTGCATACGCCATCTACACCACAACACAAACATTGAAGGCACAAGATCATTCAAGAGAAACACAGAATCACCAAATACGGTAAACAGTTATCCATGTATGGTTGGTAGTTGTATGTTTCATTATGCAAAAGCTTACTTTAAAAGATGCTTGAAGTCTTGCTTCCCCAAGACACGAAGATCATCACATAAAGATATAACCTGTCCCACATTTGAAGGAAAAGGCAGTTTAATTGGTCAGAGAACAAGATAGTGAAGCTGGCAGATTATCTATGTTTACTAACAACGATGATGATTATGACTTTGCTCGCATATGAATTAAAAAATGAAAAAGAATAGAGTAAAACCACACCTCTTCGGTTGTCAAAGTATGATCCTTGATTGGCAAACATGCAGGATCTTCAAATTTTATAGAAGTAACTGAACCAAGGATCTCAAGAGGAGATCCAGACCAAACAAAGTCTACCGCAGAGCAGACCTTCCGCAATGTTGTGTCTCCATCTTCATACCTGCAAAGGGAACCTAATCAATACAACAAATAAACCTAGGTGTATATTATATATGAACCTTACATCAGAGATTTGTGAAAAAGTACAAAGAAGAGAGGCGAGTGAACATGAGTTTTATTGATTTAGAGAGACCCTATTATAGAGTGTTGAGGAAGCATAGTGGTGGGTACTGTAGACAAGGAATTATCCATATCATTAAGGATGTGCAATGGTGCAGTCTTAAGATGTAGTGAAGGTAGAAGGCTTGCACAAAGGATCTGTACTGGGTATTATCTGTCTGATTTAGCAGTGGTAAGCTTAAGAAACATATCCAAGATTAGAATTATTGGTGTTTGGTATTTGATTATGACATCGATAAAGCTAGGAAAGGGATGAAAGTGGAAATGACAACAATAGTACAATTATCTCTGCAGTCCTAGCTTTACGCGTCATGATCACCTTGGCAGTTCTCCAATGTGTGAAAAAAGAACGTGCATACGCAAGCATAAATATAAAACTGGCTCCCAGCCATTCTCTTATATGGCAATCACACAACATTGCTTTTCCGCAAATGATTGTGGACGAGAGTCACACATTCGATGAATTAGTGAGAAGAAAATATACCCATCACGATGTCGCTTTTGCTTTGTTCCTCTAAGAACGTCCACCACCTGAATATGTCAAATGCATACAGATAATTATCTCAATTACAGCACGATGTAGAAAGATAAAATGCAGATAAGGTGGGAGTGATTGGATTACCTTTGGAGGCTCTTTACCTCCTTGGAAGAGGTACTTTACATCAAGAAGTTGCGGATCAATTTTAGCAGGTGCCTTATACTTGAAACCAACAATATAAATTTCTGCTGATGCTGAACGACTAGCTTGTGGTTTCTCCACTTCAACCTTCTCAAAGAGCTGTACAGAACATTCATAGGTGAGAAAAAGGCATACATTGAACAGAAATTCTTGGCCACATTCGTTGGAAAGAATATTACCTGTCTAAGACAGAAAAGGACAGCAATATAATCTTGGGATCTGAAAACCTATAGGACAACAATAGACATAAAATCATTCATTCATTGCATCCCCATTATAAGGTTGACTACACTAGTTACTGAGGCTAAATCGAGTGCAAAACATATCAGGCAAAATGCATTATAGTATACCATAACAAACTTTAAAACCCAATAAAGCATTGAGTTACCAATACATAATAGTATATTATAACATCAGCACTTGTTATCTTGAAACCATTCAGGGAACCAAAATTGTACTAAATGGACATTAAAAAGAAATTCATACAAAGTTCTGCCTAGGCACCCAAAATTTATTAGTGGAAAATGACACTGAACCCAAAAATATAAGCAACTAGTAATATATTGCAATGGAATTCATGTGAAGTTTAGGCACCCAAAATTTATTAGTGCGAAATGACACTGAACACAAAAATACTAGCACTTGTGTACATATAATGCAATCGGAGCCACTTGTTTATTCGTGTGATAGAATACCATCCCCATTTTTTGTGCACAGGACAAAGTTTAAAAGCCATTAAAATCAAATTTCTTCAACTTCAGTACTTGTAACTGTTATTGTGTCACATGCACAATTAACTTTTCTCAGTTATATTAAACCTTATGCCGCATCAGAGCCAATGTTAATTTTGCTATAAAAAAAAAATCAAATTCAAGTAATTATATACAGATAATAGATATTTAAGATTATACATATAAAACATGTACCTTTGTGACAAAAGTTCCTTTGGGAGCCAAAAGCTCCGTAGCGAGCTTAACCGAGTCAATCACCAGAGCATTCTGACTGGTAGCCTCCCTAGCCCACGCACCACCAACATTAGGCGAGCCGTCGTGCAGCACCAAGTCGAAAGCCATGCATCCATTCTCTGCCATGAGTCTCTTAACCAACGCTCTACACTTAGGCTGGGTGATATCCTCCTGTACGGAGATGGCGCCGCTGATTGGTTGAATCGGGTCGAGGTCGACGCCGATTACTAAACTTCCGACGGGCATCTTCTCGACGGCCACTTGCATCCATGCACCCGGCGCGGCGCAGAGGTCAAGCACAGAATTAGCCGAACGGAGAAAACCGAACTTCGAATCAAGTTGAACCAGCTTCCATGCGGCTCGAGATCTGTAGCCATGCTCTTTTGCCAAGTGATAGTACTTATCCAAACGATGTTTTCCCTTTACATTCCCCATTGGTGTGAAATTTGAGAGGAAAGCGATTATACACCTAGGGCTAAGTGAAATTGGAGAGGAAAAAGGAGAAGTGTGTAATTAGGGTTTAACAGGGTGGGTTGGGTTTACATAGGTTTTAGTGGGGTGGGTTGTGCTGGCGTGGCGTGGCGTGGTTGCGTGGGTTTTAGTCTGTCAAGGTCAAACCATTCCCTTTCTTTCTTTTTCTTTTTTTTCCTGAAAGAAAAAATTAATTTCGAATAATTGGCACAAGAATGAAAGTTATTATATTCATTACAAAAAAAAAAGTGTCTTATTAAAACATTATTATGATAAATCATGTGAAAAAAACCTAAAGAATGAAAAAAAAATTACATTATTTATTTGAATGTGTCATGAAGTTGCCTCGTTAAAAACTGTCAAAAAAATCCAATTGCACAAAATCTTAGTCAAAAGAAAAAAAATATTATCGAGTATCAACTCCCATAAATCACTTGAAATATATATTAATAAATATTACAAGTGATGCTATTAAACCTCATTTGAGTTATAATCCTAGTCTATATGGTGTTAGACAATGGGCTAAATAAAGTGTTTAATTAAATAATTCATTTAGTTTGCATTTATCAGATAGAGCGTGTTTGATTTATATGGAAAATATTTCCCAGAAAATAAAATGTGTTCCTTGTTTTGAGGAAAACAAATCTTATTCCCTCCAAATAAAATGTTTTCCTTAAAAAAAGGAGAATTATGCATATTTTCAAAAGTTGTAAAATATTTTCAATACAAAAAAATAGCAATCGAATATTTCAAAGTAGGAATCTGAGTGGAAAACTGACATTTTTCATGAAAAATAAATACAATCAAACTCTTAATGTCACATCAGCACCACACATACGAGTTATAATCGTAATTGGGCTAAATACCATTACTCAAATAGAATTGAGAGGAATTACTTGAAAAATAGTGTTTTTTAGCCCCATTGAAGTTATAATCACTATCTATATGATGTTAGGTTATATACTATGTTAATTAATGACTGGTGGAATTAAATGACTAATTTTAATTTTATTTATCATTTAATACTAAGGGTCTGTTTGAGCCCTATTTTTTTGAGTAAAAGGCAATTTGGAATAGTGGATTAATGGAAGGGTCTGTTTGAATCCCATTTTTTTGAGTAAATGCATTTTAGAATAGTTGATTGATGGAGTTGTTAAAAATGAAGAAATTTTTTTTTTTTTTTTACTTCTATTTAATACTATTTTATAGAAGAATATCACTTATTTGAATCATTGGAAGATGGTGTCTTCAATACACCAATTGCATGCTGCATGAATCTTTATGCCAAAGTCCTCGAGCTACATCATAAGCTAATATGTAGGCACCAAAGTGTAATTTCCAATTTTATGAAAAAGGGATCAGACCATCTATTCGACTGTAAAAATCGTGAAACTATCAAATGCACATATATGCGCAGAAGAAGCTGTCGAATGCAGATGCAAAAGAAGCTACATGCACTAATGAATCCAGCACCCGGCGAGCATCGGTGGTTGCCCGTGTTGGATCCGCTGGTACGTAATTTTTTATTTTTATTTTTTTGGGTCAACGTATATATTTGTTTGGATATATAGCTGTAATTTCATATATTCTCAAGCCAATCGTAGTTCAATTGGTTAGAGCACTTGTTTAGTAATTAGGAGGTTTTGAGTTCGATTCTCTACCAGAACAATCCATCATACAATTATTTTAATTCAATATTTTTCACTATTTTGTTGCATAATTATTAAAATCATTACAAAGGGAAAGATTCAAACCTATGATCCTCTTTGGGAATATTGAAAGTTTGACTATTATGACATTTGTTGAATGTTAACATTAAGCCAAATTTTTAATAGATTTTGATAAAAGTTGATCAAATACGTCGTTAAAAAATTGCGGATCCCAAAAAATATGTGGTTCAAATTAATTATTAACTTTAACTTAAATTAAAATCTGAATTTCAATTTATACCAAATAGATTCTAAATGTAATAGAAATATATATGTTCAATTTTAGTAAAGTAATAGATATATTTAATTTTTATTGTGATCATTGACCATCAACAACCGTCTGTACTAACTCAAGATCCTGAATCTGCAAAAGAAGCCGTTGGAACAAATTGAGAAGATGTAACAGCACCCATCATTGTCTTGTGAAATTCCTGACTGAGGAATGACAAGATTCTAGGTGATAACTTATAACCTTATCGGACCTTTTATTTCAATTTATATGTTGAGATATGACAAACATTGGACCCATTTAGTTTTTATATATGAATTTGTTATTAAAAATTAGACTTAATTGATTACTTAATTTACGGGTCAACCACGGTTTAATCTCGATTCAATCTTTTGACCCTTAACCCTCTTCCTTTTCCAAGTTAATATCCGGTCCGATTTCCAAAACATCGATAATTTCATTTGAATACAAACCAGTACGCATAAACTATAAGCCCAAAAGAACTAGATCTCATAAACAACATAGAGGGGCCACATTCTAACGACTCTTTCAATAATCAGTAAGAAACTCAACTTTGTACTACGCATGTTAATTCTTTATATCGACGGGAAATCCCTAGCTCTACTTATTGCTGCACAAATACATTTACCATCATATGACAATGCATAACAATGAACATCAAACAATGTCCACTTCTACCATCTCCTCATCAAGTCCATCGATATCTGCATTCTCGTCATCTCCCATGTACTGCAAATGAAACAAGTTGCTAATCTCAGATCAAATTTTAAAGCAGCTTAAGAATGCAATATATTAAAAGAGAGATCACATATCAAGCGTCAATATTCCACGAAGATTCACCCTATATCTTTTGCTCATAAAGTGTTTTTTTTAGGTATATATATCCATGATACAACAGTCGTGCATGCATTTACATCGACATTATCAACCAAATGAAACACTACAAGAATTTTAACGACATTTTTCAAGATTGATTTTTGTCAGATCTTCAACAAGAATATGATGTGTAAAAAACACTCTCGGACACCCAATGTATGACGAAGTTTCATTTGTCACTCATCTTAATTTTGTGCCAATTTAGTTATCAATTTGTTTCAGTTACATCACCCATCACTCATCACTAACCAGCATCATCTTAACAGCCAATCTTACAAGAATGATGGTTTCAATGACGTGGCAGCCCCTTGAAGTTGAATTCAAATGCTTCCAAGCCAAATAAGCAAATAGCAATTCACTTGTGAAAGTAGCATTTCCACCAAATCTTAGGATTGAAAACAATATTTAACACTACAAAGGGTCAACAGCATTTCTGAAACACGCTTATCAATTTATTTATTTTTTGTTACTTGCAAATGTATGAATTTAACGTGACTCCAACGCCATCAAGCCTCCGTGTAGGACCCATCGTTAAAAATACTAACGGGAATAATGTTGGTGATGTAACAGAAACAAAGTGGTAGCTTTAGTGACCAAATTGAAACAACATAAAAATGGGGGTGACAAACGAAAGTTCATTATAAGTTAGGTGGCCAACAGCATTTTTACCCGTATAAGAAGTGTAGCATGGTGTGTATCTTATTATGCATTTATGTGTTGAATTAAAATTAACCTGTATATAAACATTCTGTGGGATCAGAGGCAGCGGTGGAAGCAGAAACGGTAAGCTCGGGATCTTAAATTTAACTTCTGGCTCGGCTCCAGCTGCAGCAGCTATAACCATGTGGGCCTTTTCCTCCATTTCAACAACTTCCACATCTTCTCCAACAACATGAGCAGCCATGCCAGTTGGTGGCAATGGAAGGCCAGATTCAGATACCTTGGACTGCACATTTTTAGCATGCAGAACAAATTATACAGTTAGTTACATACTACATCTCGAGGTTAAACAGTATATTAGCGTACATGTTATCCATATGGCTATACCACTGATGCAATAAATTACTGTTTTCACAGAATAACATGACCGAGACCCAAAAAACACAACTTTTATGCAGAGATTTTTAGAATGTTAGAAGAAAATAATAATAATTTACATGTCCTAAAGGGGTATATAGCCTTGTTCAGTTGAATGACTATTAATAAGATTTGCACACTTGGAGCCTTTTTTCCTAAAAAGGAAATTTAAATGTCCAGCCCTTTCTCTATAATTCTTATAAGCTATTCAAAGTAACATGCAGGCTTTTGCTTGAGATCACATCTACAGGACCTGTTATACAGGTATCAAAATAAAGTTTGCAATCTCCTGCCAATGATATTGCCAGTTCTGTTGATTTACTTTTTCAGTAAAGCTTTTCTGACCCAACATCTTTGTCCAATAGGTCTAGCACTTTCTTTGAGAGTCCAAAATAACAAACAGTGAGAGTGCTGGCAATTACTGCCCCCACATCCCTAAATTTCTTCAGAAACCCAGATCCTGGATGCTCAGTTCCCAAATGTTCTTTGCCAGCATCAGAGCATAAGATATATCATAATACAGAGAAAGCACTTGATTAATCAAACACCATGTATGGTCTTTTTCAGTTCTCTCGTTAGGTCAAAGAATAACTATCTCTATTCACTCTTTCTCCCCTTTTGGCCCAACAGTCTCAGTTGCAGTAGTAGGTCTAGCATATTATATCCATGTTCCCACCATTTCGAGTCAAAATGCATTCCTTCAATTTCTCAAATAACATCAATTCTCCTAAAATTAACGTGTTGTATTATGATAGTACTTAATAACTGGTAAAACTACACGAACTAACTCCATTCCATGTTACAAAATTAATATTTCTTACACCCAGTAACTAATTGTTTTGACAAAAAAAATCCAATATATATTAATTATACATACATTTTCTGCAGTTATAGATGTTACAAGATAGGTCTAATTTCCAATCCATGTAACATACTGGAACGTTATGTAAAAGTTTCCGTCCCACTTCAACCATTTTGGTTACAACTATTAACATCAGCTACAAATATTATTCTACCTAAATAAAAAAACCTAGCTACTTCAACCATGTAACAGCATGTTTGGCTACGTTTTAAAAAAATGGCCATGTAAAAGAATGTTAATAAATCCAAATCTACCTAAATATGAAAAGTTAGCCACTGTATATCAAACACTATGTACTATAATATTACTATATTAAAAATTAACCAAAATGAAATACAATAACAAAACAAGCATAGATGGCAGAGAAAGCAACGTTTAGCATGAAATTCAGCCAAAAAATTCTACTGTCTCAAAAGAATTGCTTCAAATTTTGCTCAGAAAATCGTCTACACTCGAAAAAGTAGTATTATTCATCTACACATATATATAGATATCTTCGACAAAGCCGGTCAAATTCAACCTGGGGCATGCAAAAGTCATCAATGGACCTTTTGGGCATTGGGATGATCCTAAGATCCATGAATTCCACTCCTCACATGTATCAAAAACCATATTATTTTTTAGGGAGAAAAAAGAAGGGAAGAATGTTGACGGCACCTTATCAGGTAAGGAAGTATCAGAAGGAGCGTTTACTCCCTTTCTTGGCTTTTCTCCGTATGCTAATGGCTTATGCCCATTATTTGCATCGCCATATGCCTTGGGTTCCTTGCTATTGCTTGATTGCAGACGACGCACATGAAAACGAGAAAGTTTTTCCAATTTATCTCCTTTAGTTGAATTTTCTGGGAAAAGTAAAAATTATTAGCTAACATACATGTACAATAATCATTCATAACATTGCAGTTGCACCAGGTCAATGCCAAAGCAGTACCAAAAGAAAGTAATAAAAGAACCATCAAAGTCCCGAAACTCTAAGTGAGTCAAATTGTAGCATGCACGTGAAAATTAACTCTCAGTGAGTCAAACTGTAGCACGCACATCAAAAATAAAAAAGACACCTGATGCTGTAAAAAACAAAGTTCAATGCATACAAGTGCCAAAAGTATCAAGTAAAATGCGGCCAAATTAACTTCTGGGCAGCTACTCATTGATTGCACTTGCACATGCAAAACTCAAGAAGCTTCCCCCCACCCACCAAATGAACAGATAAAAGAAAAAGAAGAAAAAGGAAAAAGAAAGAAATTATCATTTATTCAAAGGTAAACTTGCAGAGACAGAAATATATAGACTTAAACAGAAACAGTTCACTTTAAGACCTGAAACAACAAAGTCAGTCTCGTACAAAATGTCTTTTTGTTGAATCTTGCCCATGCAATATCAATAAGCAATACTCACAAAATCTGTGTTGCAGTATAACAAATGGTTCTTGCAATCAGGAGCTAATCAGAAGTCAGTTTTGAGGAACTCAGCACCAAGTTAAGTTAGCAATCAAACAATTCCACCAGGAAATCTGAAATCCTCAAGGTCACAGAGCTGCAATAGCCACCCCCACCCCCATCAATCACAAAAAACCTAGTAATTTTTTTTTACTATTTACTTTCCTGCGCAGGATAATTCTTTGAATAAACTTTTTCTCTCTTCAGCATTTGACTCTGGTTTTGAAAATGCATAAATCTATATAATAAATTTCACTACTAAACCTACGTAAAAAATAAAACTCCCAGTTAAGGTAAAAAGCCCCAAGTAAAGAACTAACATTTAACCCTGAGTACTTTTATATCATAACCTGAAATTTGGGAATGATTGAGTAAGGATGTACTTCTTTCCCTCTAAAATTATGTTTTGTATTAGTCTACTTTCGGCATATAAAACACATAGGCATAGAGATAATAGGCAAATGATTCCACTTTTTTCTGGTATTAAATACATTCATTAGAAATTATTAGAAATTTACTTATTCACATAACAAAGAACCATAAATTAATAGATTAGTACAGCTACATGATGTAATATATGTTCTTGCCTCAGAAAGTTGAAAGATTTGTAAGTAATTTATCGTGTATAGTCTTTTTAAAGAATACTTGTATACAGATAATAGGCTTTTGATTCCACTTCTTTCTGGTAACAAATAAATTCATCAAAGTTGAAGGTTAAACAATTTTGGCACTCACCAATTTTAAGTAATTCAGTCTTGTGATAAAAACAGAAGTACAGCTAGCTTTTTGGAAGATTAGAGATCAAACCAAATGCATACTTGGATAGTACTGGACTAAATGATATTTCAAAAACATAAAGGAGAACACGTGCATGAACTGCTTCTAAGTATCGTAACTGCTCAAAATGTGATAGTACCATAGAATTTTATCTAGGTATGTATTTATCAATAAATGAATGTCAACGAGCTTTATTTATCATTTCAGGTTTCTGTACTACCTCGATTTGAGTTATCACGAGGTTCCAAGTGAACTCTTGTTCTTTTCTTGCATGATGAAGCATCTGCTTGAGGCTCATCAGCAGTTTCATCGTCACTTATGGTGTTAATATTTAAATCATCTTCATTAGCACTAGGTCCCGCAGCATCTGAACCAAGCTGCTCACCCAGCTTCTTAAGGTGAGCCTGTGACCTACAAAGTCAAATCCTTTAGAATGGTTGACATCACGGAACCTAATCGAGAAAATCAGAAGATTAACGTAATGCAAATAAAGGAGAGACTATCCAAACGAAAACATGCCTCTTCAATTCCTCTTGTAGCCGCAAGTGTCGACTGTGTGCTTTGATGAACTTCTTTATTTTCGAAGTAATCCTGGAAAATAAATATAAGAGAGGTCAAATTCAGCCCCTGTTTGGGATCCATTTTAATGTGTTTTTGATGAAAATGTATTTAGGAATAGTGATTTTATTGAAGAATGTGTAGTTAAAAGGGGAGGAAAAGTTTTGGGTTTACGTGTAATATTATTTTATTAGAGAATGTGTGATTAAAAAGATCATAGAAAAAAAATGTATTAAAATTATAATGGGGCTCAAACAGGGGCTCATTAACATTATGAAAATGAACCATATAGCATACGAGAACAGAGAAACTCAATTAAGAGTGGCACCTTTTGCACTCCTCTTTTTCTTTGGACAGTTGCATTTCAAGCTCCTGAATTTCCAAATTTAGGCTATCAGCTTCTTGAACTTTCTGTTCTAGGAAGATCTTTGCCACAATCACAAAGATATGCTCCAAATGTAAGTGTAATATCTAAGGAATATGAACTCTAAAATATACCTCAAGAAAGAAACCAAACTTCCAAGCAGAGAAAGATGAAGTGGAAGAAAAAAAATAAGAAATAAGAAAATAGTTGAAATTCTAAGTACCAAAATATCCAACCAATAAAAAATATAAATAGAAAAAACAGAAGTACACAAAGCCACAAGAAAACTCCTCACTGTAGTTTATGGTCTATATGCATACATTTAAATGGAAACACAAAGGCCCCTGAAAGAATAATTGGTGCAGAGTTGACAGAACTAGGAATGATTAGTGTCTGAGATGACTGAACTCGGAGGTAAATGGGAGGGAGGAGAGTAACAGAATCTTCAACTTCATCTCACGGTTTTTGTTACTCTTCCTTATCAAGTTCAGAGTCAACCATCTCCACAGCAACACTAAGAATTAGTCTTCATGGACAAAATGACTAGCGTACGACATTTAACTTTTCAAAAAGATTACATATGAAATCCAGAAACCAATATGGTAAGGAAGAGATTTATATTTCGATTTCATAATAAAAAAATAAAAGCATATGATCCCAAAGGAAGGCAAAAAAACATGGATAATTAGAATATCCAAATAGTCAAGAATTATAAACAGCAAGAGAAAGTAAAAACAAATGCAGAATATAGATAAAAAAAAACTAATATACTGCTGCAACAGCAAAGAAAGGAAACTAACCTCCAGCTGTTGTTTTTCATTATCCAGCTTTTTAATATCAGATTGCATTTGCCTCAGCTGCTTATCATCCAAAAAAAGACAAAGATGACATTGATGGAACCACCACAAGAAAAGGAAGACTCCGTGCAAATGTAATACGGTATTTCTATGAACTGCAAAAGACACAAACCTGGTCATCAAGATGATTTTTGGAATCAGAGGATGTCTGCCTTTTATCTCTGATTTGATCTTCAGTTCCATCTGACATTTTGAAGCCTCCAGAATGATCGCTATGGCCATCTACCTGCTGTCTCTCCATTTGCTTTCTGCCACGGCAACATGGCATACATTTGCAGGTGATAGCAGAGAATCAGAGTAGGTATAATGTTTTAATCATCATCATACTTCACGAACTTCTTTCTCCCATTAAATGTTTTATTTTAGTGACTATCCGAGTTCAAATTTGTAAAGAAAATAGCAAAAAGGTCTAGAATCTGAAAAGGGAAAAAAAAAAAAAGCAAATGACAGCCTATCCGTGTCCGTGCTTCGTAGAATACACTGTATACGAATAATGGATGCTCAAATATCATCAAAAGACCAAGAGAGGGGGTGAAGTTCTGTTGACAAGCTTACCTCCTTTTTCCAAGAGAGCGAGGACTGTCTCCTAAAAATTAAATTAGAACAAATATCCAAAGGAAATCAATATAAAATGATGACTGTTAAGGAAACAACAACAACAGAAAAAAAATCAAATATAAAGATCAACATCTTACCATGAGACACATGTCTTGCTCTTGTATCTCTCTCTGGTGAATATCTACGCGGTGGAGAGTGCCTTCTGTCAAGCCTTTCTCTCAGGTCTCTACCTGGATCGTCCTGCCTCCCTGCGATTTGAAACAGAAATATTTCTATGGGATGGGCGGAGTCATTACTTGAAAAGGGTAAAAAGCAGGGAGCCATCACCCAACAATCAACTTGAAGTTAGCTTACCATATCAAGGAACATGTAAGATAATTATGAATAATTAGACAGCCATCTTGTGAATTCCACTAGAGCCATAGAAATTTCAGCTCTCATTTATTGAATAGATAAAGATATACCAGTGTTTGAGCTTTTATTATAGAGAGTACACTTCAAGGACCACGGAAGCAACTTATAAAAGACAGCAGACATCAGTTGCCACTTCTTCAATAAGAATATAAGGCTATAGTGCAGATTGCTTCTCATGCCCATATCAAATTAATAACTATCCATTTGACATGGGATACTTAGCCTTCCGGAATACAATTCCCAGCCAAGAGGTCCCTTTCCAGTATCATTCACATGAAGAAAATACCACATTCTCGATGGATATACAAACTGCAGAACTTAAGGATAAAGCATTCGGATAGGTCATCAAATCAGCCGGTGAACTATGTAGATAGATGAGATTGCATCCACAGAAACCTAATTATGATCCTCATATAATACTGCTGTTTCAAGATGCAATAGGATAAACCAAGAAGCCGAGAAACAATACCACAAGCAGCAAAAAGATTAATAAACCAGCATAAACCATTCTGATAAGAGATAGTCAGTCAACATGCACTTGATATTGGTCCAAAAAACCCAAATCAGTAGAAACTTTTGCAATGTTTCCACACTGTATGAGATGAAAATATCCTGCCAAGCTTTAGAAAGGAGAATTATCATGCACGATCCACAATTCTCCATGATGATAAGAAAAAACTCCACTGACTAGGAGTGATGTTAACTTGAATAACAAGCTCGATTAAGCAACCCAGTATAGAAGCCAATGGATACAAACACATCATAATTCTCTGAAAACTATACTATGCTCTAAGAACTACATAGTTTCACAATTAAGAGTGTCAATAGGCGAGCTGGGTTTAAGCTGGGTGAGCACAGTCCACCAAATAAAAGACAGTGACGGAATGTCCAAGCACGCTCAACTCCAAAAAACTGAAGATGTTCAGCCACGTTTAGCCCAGAAATCTGCACTAGCTTCGGCTAAATTGGGCTGGTCAATATAGTGCATGTATGATCTAATCGAAAAATAATTTATATCTTAATTATGTTAAGCATGGAATTATTTTGTTTTGCCAGCCCAGACAGCCCAACTTCGAATTTGCATCCACCCTTGGATGGAAATTTAAGTTGATAAGCAGTAAGTTGCTAACAGAAGTAAGTTAATGAAATACAACAACAATTTATGGTACTCCAAATGACTTATCCAATATATTTTCTAAGAAATCAGAATTTAAGAACTAAGAAAACAACACCCTCTTAGTATCTCCATAACATTAGTAAACAAACTAGTAATCAACAAACAAAACTAAGCAAAAAAATAAACATGAATTACAAGTCAACTGTATCAAATACGTAGAAATTTCATAGCTTGTTTCTCTGTACAATAATAAAAAATTTACCCACATGATCCCCGGTTTTGTAAGGCTCACAAATTTCATAAACTAAGTGGAAATCACAAATTAAAAGTAATATTGCTGCCCTTATTCATTATTTTCCTGATTCACGTGTCACTTAGATTTCTCAAAAATAACTAAAAGTATGAAATCAAATAATAAATTTATGAGCTTGCAGGGAAAAGGCAAAAGAAGCATAAAACGTGTTATAATAGAGATGATAAAGGAGTCTATTTTAAAGAAAAAATAATAATATAAAAATTACCATCGAAGGAGCGGCGGAGCTCCGCGTAGCCGTGTGCATAGTTACAATACTGGCGATTGCAGCGACCTTTCTGGTACAACAGACATAGCTTCGTCTTGAAAAGCTTCTTTTCCACCATTTTTCTTCAAGATTATTTGAATTTGATGCTAATATTACAGATATGTATAAGAGATTCAAGAAGAAATTTTGCAGAATAGTGAAGTTAATGGAAGAACCCTCGATTCGTCGCAGAAAACCCACTCTAACATAGTTATTTGAGTGGACGGTAAATGATTCACCACTGTAGATATCAATTCTTTCGTTTTATCGATCATTAGTTATGCAAACGAGGCTTGAACTCAACAAACAAATTTAAATTAAAGATGATAATTGTGTGTTTGGATTTCTTATTATAACGAGAGAAGTAATTGGTCCATAAAATGCGGATGCTATGTGAGTTATAAATAATTGTGAACGTGTAATTATTAATTAAAATTAAAATTAAGCTTTAACTAAAAGTTATTAATAATTTATAATTTTCAATCAAAAAATTCAAAGAAAACTTAAATTACCGCTAGACTGCCAAAATAACAATGTTATCTCATTCCAAATACCAAAAAGTTCAAGACTAACATAACAATTTTCTAAGATAACTAAGTTAAAAAATACATTTGGCAAGTGTATAGGTAGAAATAAGGGAACAATACATAATTCCTTGTTTTAAATATCACATTTCATAAATAACAAATTTCAAAAAAAAAATTCAAAAATCAGGTGTCAAATCATTTTATTAAATATTTATAATTATAATATAATACAATTATCCCAATTTAATAAATTTCTAATCCAAATCATTCACTCTCTCTCTCTCTCTCTACTATCTATCATCTCACAACCATATCTATCAATNCCAATAACCACTCCACCGCATACTCCCATCAACCTACCCACCTCATCCATCAACTCCAAATTTCCAAAAAAAAATCAGAATTTCAAGTCACAATCAGTCACAACGGGTCACATTGAACTAGTCACAATCGGTCAAAACAATCACATCCGGTCACAAACAGTCACAACTAGTCACAAACAGCACATATTTGGTCGAAATCTCGTCTTGTGCCACCAAATTCAAACATCGTCGCTGTACCGAAAAAATCATATCCAAAATACTACAAATTGGAAAACCATCAACAAAACGCACCACCGCAACCGCCATTACCACCACCAACAATAGCACCACTTGAACCAACACCAGTACCATGACCAAGACCACAATCGGTGACCACCCTCACCCCGTCACCGTCGCCACCGCCACCATTTTGTAACCCACCACCGCCGCCATCGCCATCTCCTTCGTCATCGGCTGTCGGTGTACCATTATTAATGTTGTTCTTCTCTTCAAGCAACATAAAACATGGCCGACCTAAACCTTCTTTTCTAGATCTGAGTTTTCATCACTATTCTTCATGTTCATCAAGCTCACTTCTCTCTCCTATTCCATTTTCTTCATCTTCAACTCTAACGACCTGAACAATAGAGTTAAGGTAGGGTCGGATCTCCGCTTCTGGAGTTCAGAGGCAACAGAGTCCCACCGGAGTCTAGATTTTTTTTCTGAATCATCACAAAATGTTTTCAAAAATTAAAAATTGAATATTACACCATTAGCACAGTCGTCGTCGGGGCATTGGGGTGGTGGTTCTGCAGCGAACTCACCCGCCTTTGGCCAAATCGTTGCGGTTGTGGTTGTGACGACTCAATCCAGAAGGCACTGCTCCACGGTGGCTGTCGGTGGAAAATGAGGAGAGAAGGAAGAGGGTGGATGGAAAGAGAGAGAGACGATATAGAGGAGATGAAATCAGTTTGGGATAAAGTGGGGGTGGGTTGGGGTGGGTTGATGAATATGTAGATTTAAATTTTTAATAATTATAATTAATAATTTTATTTACCACCTGAAATCTGAATTTTAAACTTAATCTCCTTGTTTATGAAAACTGATCTTTAATTGCAGGGTTTTAGGTAATTTTCCCTAGAAACAAATTGAGATAAATGGATTGTATCGGTTGAGGACCCAAATAGAGAGAGACTTATGGTAGTAGTTTAAGTCGGCCTAGTGAAAGAGCTAGCTGCAGCAAAGCCTTTTTTTACAGAGGGTTTAGTTTCATACATAAATAAAAAGTAATCAAACTATAAACACTTGACAAACATACTATTAGTTGTTTGAATTTGGCCCATTTCTTAGAATTACATGTTGCAAAAGTAGGTTTTTGATCTTTTTACAATAAAATCTGTAGGAAATATAGATACTACTTGGTATGGTTGGTGTTATTTTTGATCTTTCAGTGAAAAGAAAAAAAAATATCCTACTATAATAAAAAAGCCAGTTTTGGGTCGTTGTAGATGTAACAGTAATCCAATGAAATGTTACTGTTCGTTTTTTTTTTTCCAGATTTCACTCATCCGATCCTCCAATTTTCACTGCTGTGTAAAAAAGGCAATTTTCACTCAATTTGCATTGCTTCGTTGTATATTTTGTCTATTTTTTTAGAAATTTGATTTTATATCTTGGAAATTGGTTCCAAGCATCTTAACTTAAAAAAAAAAAAAAGTATCTGCGCGCGCGGAAACACCGCAGACACGATGTCTCCACGTCTACGTGGAGACACAGACTCCGCGCGTTCGGAGAATCTTTTTTTTTTACAGTGTCACTTCAATCCTCTTTTGTTATTAGCAACTTGTGAAACGATTTTGTATTTTGATCAACTTGACCACTGGATCAAATCCATATTTATTGTGAAAAATTCATGCCTAAAGCTAACTGATACTTTTTATCTTTTGGATTCCTTTTGAAACAGTTCCTTAAACAGTGTATCATATGAAAATATTTAAAAATAAGGGAAAATTGCGGCCGTGGTCCCAAACCTTTTATTTTTGCGGTCGAAGACCTAAACCTTTATATGTAGTTGCAACGTCGATCCCAAGCCTTTAAATCCGTCAATAAAATCGCCAGTCTACGTTTAAACAGGAATTTTGACTCGAAAAAATTGCAGCGCTGGTC